ATCCGCTGTCGGGAACCTTAATATCCCAATGTCGTTGATGGATACCATAATTGAGACAGTTTCACCGTCGATTTCGACGATGTTCACTACGAGCTTCAGCCAGCTGGAGGCAAACGCGGTGAATCACGCTGGATTATGGTGAAAGTAGACTCGCATGGAATCTACCTCACGTCCTCCCCAATCCCGCACCTGTACTCGGTGTCAAGACAGAAGTCGAAAAGAGCGAAGACGGGGGAGATCGAGGGTGACTTGCGCGGCCACAACTGCAATGCACTCCACAACAACACCTTGCTAGGCTCCCGCTTACGTGGTGTGTGTTCGACCATCGGTTTCGGTGAAGTCCACAAAGTGCACCAACAGGTTGGTACGGAAGGTGACGGTCTCAGGAGGTAGCTTTAAAGTGATAGCGGACGTAGTTAGCGCCAAGTGCATTCTTCATTTTCGTCCGGAGTCTCGAAGGCTAAACGGGCTCCGGCGTAGGCTGCTTTATCCAATGCAAGCAGAAACACCGCATAACTTAGTCTTAAGTAACAGTAGCTTTTTGCGCTGGTACTACTATATTATTTACCCTCACTAACCCTTAGTAGGAATGAAGACAGGCCCAAGGAGGCCGAGACTGATACGGTTACTACTGTTTCTTATGCTACTGACAATCAATGTAGCCGAGTCATAGTAGTACTTATACTCTTTCTGAAGTTAAGATTTGTCAGAAGTGACGCTGCGGCTCATACCTCCTTTGTTGTCAACGAGGAGTGGGACGTCTAGGTTTATGCTTTTTAGAGTAACTACATGTTTGAGGCCCTTGGCACATCAGGGTTTGCCGTGGTTTTCCCTCAAATCTATCCTCACAGGCTGTAGCCGTTTCAAATAGGAGCTGGACTACGAAGACTAGGATACTGCTGCTATACGTACTTGCCTATGCCAAAGTGCTAATTATAGTAACCATATTATGATGTGACCTGTGCGTGCCTGTAGGAAGCCGGCACCCGGTATGCACTCAAAATCTGTATGGAGCAAAGTAGATTAATAGTTTATGAGTTAAGGCAAAGCGTTATTAGCTAGTAGCACAAGTTCTACCATACTCATATGCCTCATGTAGTACCTTTTTGCTGTTTAAAGGCTGTCTGCAAGCCTACTACAACGCCAAGCTTGCGATAGACTGAGCATAATCGTAGGGTATCCTCCTATGCTGCTATTAACTGGAAATTTAGCGGAGTCCTAGTAGTGCTATAACTCTATCTGTCGAGTCTGAGACATGCGCAGACTCAGACTGTCCTACTATTACCTAGGATTAAGGATTCCCGAGGGAATCCGAAACGTCAGGACAATAAACCTCTTGTT